TGGATGGATGGATGGATGGATGGATGGATGGATGGATGGATGGATGGCTGGATGGCTGGATGGATGGATGGATGGATGGATGGGAAGAAAGAAACATGTCATTTACTCTGCCTCATAACTCAGCATGCGTTTGCTTTAAGGGTGGAACTTTTCTTGTGACTATTTTTATCTGTTTCTTGGTCTTTTTCTCTTTCCTGTGAAAAGACAATTCCTGAATCCGTGTGCGGTCTGAATCAGCAAAAGAAAACACTGAGTCATAACAGCCAGCTCTTCCTTTCTGCATTATTTTTCCATCGCAGGCAGATTTTAATCCATCTGGCTCCGGAGAGATATTTGGGGATAAAACGTGGGCGGAGGACGGAAGCGTGAAGCAATGAGGAAAAGTTAAATTGGGACGTGGGCTCAAACGGATGGTTGACGCGCATGTGTTGTACACCTCCCTCCAACCCCACCTCCTCTTCCCTCATGTGCCTTACCCTGCACGGTGAGTCATAGATAAAGCGGCACACTTCTAATGGTCTATGTAGGTCCCCGGCGCAAATGTTTCAAAATGGAAGGAATGATTGCTAAAATCTCTTTCTCTATATATATATTTTTTTTTGTTTTTGAGGGGATGCTGGGATTTTATTAGCGGGGATGGAAGGAGGGTGAGAGGGGCTGTTTCCGTCTGTCTGTTTGCTCTTAATTGAGGTTGGGAGGAGGGCGAGTCGGTGAAACAACGCTCCCAAATAACCCTCCTCATGATAAATTTACAATGCATCAATTTCTAAAAGTGTTAGTGAACAGATGTAAAGAGCTAAAACCAAATGACTGCACCAAAGTTAAATAGAAGAGATTATTATTCTTGTGAACATACCTCCAAAACAGCTCCTATAATCTGTGTGTGTAAACACACTCAGCGTTAGTCCTAAATACATTACATTCTCCTAACTGGTATAATTTGTTATTCTGTTATGAAGCATTATTAACAGTCTTAAAAAAAGAGACTTATTTTCGGTCCTTTAGGCAGGATAGTTTTGTTCTAATCCCTGCTGCACACAAGACATCTTGGAAGCAGGTCTTTTGTTTGACAGTGTGCCTCATCTTTAAAATCCCCCCTCTTGTTTCATCCTGTGTGTATTACTTACAAGTTAGGAGAGCTACAACAGTTTTTCAAGAATAAGCACACACTCTCTGGAGAGGAAAACATCGTCTCTCCAAGCTTTGGGATCACCAATGGATATGTACGCCACACACCCATATAAACAAGAAATAAACACACAAAACAGCACTCTAATTCAGTCCCTGCTGACTTGTTTGACTTTTGAAGTATATATGATTGCCTCTGGTCGTTGAGCTGGTAAACATTTAAATTACCCCCCGAGGCAGAACACAGCATGTCACATTAATGCAACTCTGACAAAATACACTGTGATGATTGAGCTGTTATTAAAACTGTTTTTAACTAATTCTTTTAGCAGCTTTATGAAAAGCAATGTGTTTGATCTTTATTAAATTATATCCATAGCACTTATGGAGACACGCGTATCTTTATAACCTAATGAGATACATCTTAGTGCTGGAAGGTCTTTATCAAATCACTGCTCTAAACAACAAACATCTGAATGAACGTATAAAAATGTACGCTGCAGATTTACTGCAGGAAGAGTCTGTATCTTCTCTGAATTCATTACTGGAGAGCTCATTATTTGTTCAATGGTGTGTGTTAACTGAATTGACTTGGTTATGCCCCTTGACTATAAATGTTTATTGGTTGGTTTTCTTTTCAAACGTAAAATAGATTTTTAATAGATTTTAGATGATAAATGGCGCTTTTGCAACTTGAGATATTTCAGTCTACTTTAAACATTTGCTATAACTTTTTGTCCCTTACTAGCATGAAAGATGAGCAATATCATCAATGGTTGACTCGTGTAACTGGCCTTAGCAAACATACAAATGGTTATGACTCAGTTAATTTGACAAATAGTGATCCACAATCTGGTGTGGTAGTAGCTGAGATTCATCCTCTGTTCATACTCTGAACACCACTGCAAGATTATGGCATGCATGGAGGAGGGTAACAAGCACTCCTTCAAGAACGCTAACTTGAAAAAAAAAAAAAGTCCAACCATTATACCAACTAGAGAAATCGCATTTCCTGCAAAAATGCAGTGTGAATGCTTTTTACTGAAGAACTTGTTGAAAAACAGCTGAAATTAGCTAAAATTTGCTGATATGTAGCTGAAATGGAAGAACAAGTCTAAGCTAGCAGAAGAAAGCAGAAAGAACACACATTTGCTGAATTTGGTTTAAATGAGCAGAAATGAGCACAAAAATCAGTAAATTACCTTAAAAAAAAAAGTTGAAATTAGCAAAAAAAAAAAAAAAAAATCTGAAAAGACAGGAAGAAGTTTGAAATCCCAGAAGAAAGTGTAGAGAGCCCAATTGTGCCCAGTTAGGCTTAAAGAAGCAGAAATTAGCACAAAAGTGATTTTTTTTTTAATTTAAAGCAGAAATTTGGAAAAAAAGAAAGAAAAAGAAAAAATAATTGATTATGAAATATATGCATCCAGGGTGTACCCCGCCCCTCGCACAGTGATTGCTGGACATGGGCACCGGCGACCCCCGTGACCCAAAATGGAAGAAGTGTGTAAAAGATAATGGACAGATGGATGGATATGCATAAAAATCTTCTTTAACCACCCAAAGCTGTCAGAAAGTTCTTACTAGCAGCAGTTGGAATTAGTTTTACACACAAAAAAAGTCCACTTACCATATAGAATGACTGTGGCAAAAATCCAGGGCAGACATGATTTGTCTGAAAAATTTCCTGGCCTCTTTGGGCGTTAACCTGCCTTTCTTCACCAAGTAGTCAAACAGCTCACCCCCGGAAACATGTTCTAGGACAAGGTACCTGAAAAGTACAACGGGACATTGATAAAAACATTTAAAAAACTTAGATGTTTTAAGACTTGCATACAAACATTATAAAACTGGATTGGTACATTATGTGAGAAAACACGCTGGAACTGGCATAAAGGGAAAAATATGGTAACTCTTAAGGTTATTACACAGACATAAAGCTCAAATTTAATGGCATAATCCCCATTAAGCCATATCACGTTGACTACATTTTTGATTTTGTCATCTGAAAGATGTTCCCACAGTCAGAGTAAAGAATACCAACAGAACAGTCTTTTGGCATCGATATGAGAGCTTCTTTGACATTGCTTCCTGTGTCACATAAATGTGCAACAACTAAAAAAAAAATGTAAAATCAAGCACACAAGCATGATCACTTTTCATTCGGCTGCTCACCAGGTAGCCTTCAAGTCTGTGTGGCTGGACTTTTGGAAGGCCAGTTTGTCATCTTGAGTGTTTGGTTTGGTCATGCACTGAGGCTCCAAGGGGACAGAAGGAAAATAAATCTCCACTGACCCAAGAACAAAGCTATATCTGTGGGGTGAACTCCAGCATGGCCCTGCCTCTGCTCTGCTCATATATCCTCCACCAAAACTACTTCAGACCTAACAAGGACAAATTGAAATTCAGAAAGGCTGTAAAATACACATTCTTCCCCACTCCTTTTGGAAACATGGCTCCACATCCATCACTTGAGTTTCACTAATTAACATATGGAGTTACAAACTGGATTGGCCAAAGAAAGTGCATTTGCTAAAGCCAGAAAAGGCTTCCCCAGGAGCTGCTTTAAATCAGGTCCGAGAACATGCATATTTACAATATAGATTAAACCAGAGCTGGAGGCTAGATTATCAAGACTTTTGTATAAATGGATTCTAATTATAGTTTCTAAAACAGTGTACTTTGTTTCATTACAAGAGTTTATTGGAAGCCTTGCATCAGAGCACCACGCTCATTTATGCTGATCAAGAGCAATTTATTTATCACTGATGTACTCCTCTAACCTAATGCACCAGGTTAGGCTGTACAGAAAGCAACATCTAGTATGAAGGTGGTTTTAAAGATAGAGGACTTTGACACAATTTTGAAGCAAATTTATTATTTTTTGTATAAAGAGGAGATGCTGAAGTTAATTTTATTTATAGTACTGTCTTTTTAGAGCTTGATCTATGGTAGAATGTTCTGCACAATCTGCTCTCAGATGTATTTATTGAAGTAAAAGCTAATTTCTGATTTATTTTTTTAATCTCTAACTCCTATTTGGCCTAAACATTAGCCCTGTGAGAAGTCTCATCGAAAGAGGTTGAGGTAGGCTGCAGCAGTCATTGATCCTGAATCAAAAAAGTGTGAAGTTTGTGAGGATATTATTATTATAATTATTATGATTTATATTGTTATGAATAATAATAATAATATTTGAAATCATCCTGATCAACTCAGAGCTGCTGGCAATTATTCTTTTTGTCAATTATTATTTAAAAAAATCTTGTCAGCTTCTCTTTTTGACAGCATATCACAACAGCAGGAAACGTCTAAACTAAACAGACACAAATCAAGTGAACTTACATAAATTATGGACACTTCCAATATTTTCTGCAATAATTTTTCACTTTCAGAAACATGATTAATGTCATATTATAAGTGTTAATATACCCTATAAATTAATAATCAGTGGGCTAGGTATCAAATTTCCTCCACCTCTTGTCCACATACACAGAACATTAGTTTATACAGCCTGTGGTAGGATCTGTGCCAATTTCCTAATAAATCTTTAAAGCCCTGGGATTGCTAAGTCCAAACACGCTGCATCTCTATCCATTATTGTCTTTCAAGTGGCGACATCTAAGTAAGAATCTAAACCGTATGAGGAGCCAAATCACATTACTGATATGAGTGCGTTCCAGACTCTTGAGTCATGCAAATGTAAAGCGATTTGTCTTCTGAAATGCTGCTGGTGACCGTCTGTCAAAAGTGATGAATCAACAGGGACAAAATGTGATTTTAATAATCCAATTATGGAAGAAATCCTAATATTCTGCTTTTCCTATCATCTAAAAAGGATGATACGCACTGCTCGGCATGCCCGATCTCTGTTTGGCCTGTAAGCTAAACACGAGAGCTAAATGAATTTAGTTGACAACCAATCCTCTGTAGATCAAGAGGTCCACTAAACGACCGATGGGGATGTCACTCAGCACTAAGTTAGGTAATAGATTTCGCATTGGTGTGTAAACACAGCTGCTGCACCTCTTTTTTATGTAGCATGTTGCCACTGATAAGCATATCATGGCGTTTACATTACAGAGACTTCCCCTTGCTATTAGCAGGCCCCTAGCATCCATGACTAAATAGCTGCTCAGTGTTAGTACTAATGGAGCATCCATCCCACTGAGGAAATCACAGTGTCCTGCCATCATCAAACACCAAAATAATCTGCTGCATTTTAAAGACCATTCTGGAATCCCAAGGACCACCTGATAGTACCAATGATCAGAACATTAACAGTTGTTGAGCAGATATTCTGCTTATGATGTATGCGCTTTCAAAACATTGCAAATCTAGAAATGCCAACTAATCCATTTTGGCTGGAAACCAAAGTTAGAGCAGCATCAAGTGATGATACTTACAAGTATTTTTTATTTTCATAGACGTCATGTAGCTTTAAAACGTGTGGGTGTTCTATAAGTTTCAGAATAGCTATTTCTCGTTCCACCTGAAAGAGAGGAGGTGGGGGGGGGGGGGGGGGAGAAAAGACAAAAAAAAGGATGTTATTATTGCAAGAACACAGTCAACAGTCTTTAAAAACTCTGGTAATAATGTATATTTTTGCTTGCTGCTGAAGGTGATAATGTTTTGCCCCATGTCTCTGTGTGTGTATTTGTTTTTTTCCTTTTTTAGTGTTAGCAATATATCTTACAAATGAGTAATAATACTTTAAAGAAACTCTTAGAAAGATTTCCTGATGCATGCTCTTAGAAAGATTGATGCACATCGGCAGCTGACTAAAGTTTAAAGTCAAAGCACTTCACAATGGCTGCCACAGCTAAGCAACATTACCAAACACAAAAATGGCTTCAAGTTTTCTAGCAAAGTATCTCATGAATAACTGGACATGTTTTAGTGAACCTTTCTGTAAAAAATCATTGGTTCTGCATCTAAAACTCATTAACATTTAGAGTTGACTCAATGCAAGATGGCTGCCACAGCTAATGACCTGAGCCAACACAAAAAACAGCTATAACTCAGTCAATTTCAGCAATTCCCAACATATTTTTCGAGTAAATGGTAAATGGACTGTACTTATATAGCAACTTTTTATCGTATCAAGATACTCACAGCTCTTTACAACACAATCTGTGCCCTCATTTACCCATTCATACAGCACTCCAATAGATCTATACAAAGAACAATCAGTGCTTTATCACATTCATACAAATCGGAGGCAATGAGGAGTTCAATGTCTTGCCCAGCGACACTTGGGCATGTGACTGCTGGTGGAACTGAACCCCCAACTCTCCCATTAGAGGATGACTGCTCTAACCACTCAGCCACAGTACCATCACATCTCGCAAGATCTCACAGTACTGTACGAGATCACGAGTAAAACAGCTGTTACTCTGTCCCTTTCCAGGACAAGATGATTTTAGTTTAAATCCTTGGTGGGAATTATGCCTTCCTTCAAGGAATGGAGGTTTCTCACAGACAGGTTTCTTTAAGGCAGTGCTTCTCAATTATTTTGGTTATGCCCCACCAAAAACAAGTAACCCCCCCCCCCCCCCCCCCCCCCCAACTCTTCGCCGCGACTGTAAATAGTATAATTTGTCTAAAAAATTGTTATAAATACACCTCTGCATAACATTGTACCCTTATTAACATTAATTAAATAAAGAACTATAGATCAACTTACAACAAAGATTACTAACATTGTTTTATAGTCTGTAACAGAAAAGGCTTAAAGTGCATCAATTTGCCTGAAATTAAAAAAATATATATCCTTATTTAAACTGTAAACATGTTTGATCATTTGATATTGAACAATCAAATTAAAAACAATCAATAAATAATAATAAATTCAAATTGATCAGCAACATTTTAAGTCAGGAGTGTTATATAAAACACTTTGACCTACAAAACAAAAATGAATAAAACAATTTGTGCTATTTTATTTTATTTTTATCAAAATGAGGATGTCAGGATTAACGGCTACAATGAGCACGTTTTGCAGTGCACAACTTTTTGAAGCCGAGTTTGAAACGTGATCCTGCAGCTCTCAGCTCCTGCTCAATGTTTAGCGGGACCTGGACCTGGACTTGGTCTCAGAGCAGCAACAGCAGAGAAGTCGCAAAGAGCGAACGAGCGGGTTGGGGTCCAAGGGAACGCGCTCACAAGAGAAGAACCTGACAAGTTGTTTAGTGACATAAAATATATTTTGTTAGCAAAGAATAGAGTCCTAACATTTATTAAACATTACTTCTGTATAAAAAAAACACAAAAATTGTACTTTGACAGACTAAAATAATTGTTAAAATAAAAGCGGAAGAGGGGCAGGTAACGCTCTTGCTTTGAGTTTATTTTCTGTCACATGCGTGCTGTGGGTGACAAGCGTCCAGAGCGTCACCAGCTGAGGAGGTGTCACAGCAACATGGTTCAAGCATGGCTCCCCAAATGACAAGACAGACATATTTGTTCATAACTGTATTATTAGTGAGCCTGAGAGTTGCTGGATTTTAGCAAACAGTTGCCCAACGCACCCTGACACAATAAGAATGGTGAAAAAAAACAAAACAAACTAATCCCTGACACAAAATGTTCCCCGGGGTCACATGCCCCCC